TCTCATGTAAAAAATTCTATGCTATATTTGGATTTTGTAATACTATTCAATCTATTTAATAATTATATTTTAAAATTCTTCAGAAGCATAAAAACAATGCATCTACTTATTAATTCCTCTCTCATTTTGGAATAAAAGAAAAACTATAAAACAATAAAGTAAGTAAAATGTAAGGATGGCTAATTTGGGGGCTATAAATTCTTGTGATTACCTTTCATTTTTCCATCTTTTTGTATTTTGGCAATATCATTTTATGCGAATTATACTCTTCCTTATCTCTATTTTAATATGTTGAATTTTCTTCAGAAGTCACTGTTAAAGTGCATGTTAGTGATTGAAAAAGTATCTTGAACATTTACTTGAAAAATTTTAGGCCAGTATCAAATTAAAAACAATATTAATTTTAATTTCAGTACTTTGACAATGTAAGTTTAATTCTGCTAGAACTTTTGAAGTCAAAGATTTTCATTTAAATGAGATATTTATATTTCATCAAAATAGGTATTTCATGGTCTTAATTGTTCTGTCAAGATGGAAGCTATTACTACGTATGTATATTTTAAAAGCTATTAAGATTGAGTTTTATCAAAGGAAGATATGTTTTAGGGGCCTTTAATATAAAACCCAATACTTGCTATATATTTGACTATATCACTTAAGACATTACTAAAATTAAGGTTCACTTTTAATTTTTCTCTAGCCTCGTTAGAGGTGGTCAGCATAAAGGGATCTTGAGCAGTAGTGACAGGAAAATTATACCAAAGGTGAACAAATTTCATACTATAGCCAGAGGCCAATAGGAGGGAAAATTTGGTGAAGATACTTTCAGACATACCCTATGCACTTTTATTTTTTTTAATGTTTTAAAGGACCAATGTTAAGTACAGAGTAAAAAAGTCCTGAATGCTCAGCTTTGTGCTTGCCTTTCTTATTAGAGACAGGCAGCAGGAAGAGAGCGGGGGCAAGAAGTGGCAGGTTGAGGGAGGAAAGGAGAAAGAGAAAATAAAAACATTTAAATTCTGGGAAAGGGGAGACTCAAGGATTAAAGGTAGATGCTGTGTTCTAGAGTAAAATATTATTTTCACACACATTTGCCTTCATATTGTTTAGCATGGTGGAAAATAAGAAATATAAGTTGAATATTTTCTGTAAACAATTTGTTTCACCAGGGCTGCTGCTAACAGTGGGTCTGTTTTTTTTTTTTTTTTTTTTTTTTTTTCTCTACACAATTTTAGATGCCATTCAGAAAACTTCCAAATGGACTCTAGAATCCCAGGGCCTTTTGGCATCGTTATTATAGCAGGGACGCCAACATTCCAGTTGATCAAGCATCTGTGGTTCAACAGATTCTTGAAATTTAATAATGCTTGGAATGAATTTTATGTAAAAGTAAAGCATATTTTTGCAACGTTGAAAACTTCAGATTTCAGGAGCAGTTTAGAAAGTGAGAAAACTTAATAATGGGCTTGATTGAAAGCAAAAAGGAAACAAAGGTTATTGAAGTAGAAGCAAAGCATTCCTGGAAGAAAGTATTATTATGTTTCATATCACTAAAAATAATTCTTCACATAGTTATCTGTATCCCAAAAACTTTAGAAAAATAAACCTCCATAAGACCTGAGATAGTTTATGTATGTGTATTTACTCTGTGACATCACTTTCAAAATCAGAAGGGTAAGTTATGTATTTGAGATTCATAAACAAGTTACAGGAAATTTTTGGGAAGCCTTATTTTAAATAAGGGCAAATACATTTGAAAGATGGACATGGAAGCAAAAAAATGAATATAACATTTAGTAAAAATTATCAAGGGTTCAAAAGGAAAAATTCAAAAGGAAATTATAATTGAAAAAAACAAGAATTCTGGGTGGGTGAGAAAATCCGAATCTCTTCATGTATCTTTAAGATAACTATACAGACAAAGAAAAAGTAACACCCAACAAAACCTTCATCTTCATTATGACAAAAAGACAGTTCACAAAAATTTCACATTAGCTTATGAAACAAGTAAGTATGTTTAAGATAATGAAAGTCAGGTTTCTCACTGTTTAGAAAAGGAATTTCAGATAAAGAAATAGACTGGATTAAAATGAACCCTATTGTTTTAAATTATGATTGGAGTGTTTGGTAGGATCTCATGCAGTCATTTGTATGTGTTTCCAACACACACATACACAAACATGACAAAATTACAGAAGGAGACTAGGTATACAAAAACACAGTTATATACATACAACTATATGTGTACATATATATGACCATGTATCCATACATATATTTATACATACATATAGTGATGTACATATCAGTGATTTAATTTCTCAGTAATATCCTTCACTTAAAGAAACAAGTCCACCTGCAAAAAAGTGGCTGATGCCAGATGTAGGACAGAGAATGTATTAAGATAGACTTGGAACATCTTGTGCTCCAAAGTAGGAATGTTCAAAGAATGGTGAAGATGTGTCAAAAGAAAAGAGAAGCCAGATTAAGAGGTTCCCTTAGCCAAATCTCAGACAAATTAACATTAAAACAAATGACAATCATTATATATTTGATCCATTGAGAAAATAAAAATCCATGAGTCCATAGTGATACAAAATAGTTGAATAAAAAATGAATAAATGAAGAAAATGTTTCTAAAAGTAGAATGTCAACTAGTAAATGAAGAACAAAGGTGTTAGAAAAGCGCCATTTGGCAAATAGCATGGAGAAAATGGACTCAAACAAGAATCACTAATGAAGAGCATCTCCTGTTTTAAGTTGGTTCAGATTTCCAGGTTTTAGGGCGCTTGGGTGCTGACTGATCATGAAGCCACTAAAGAATCATTTGCATTAATAGAAAACAAACTTTGGGTGGCAAAAGACAAGGTATGTTAAGATTTTTCTGATTTTCAAAATGAGAGAATTCTATAAATTAAATGAGTAAACTATTATTTAGAAAAATTTGAAACAATCTGGTAATTATCATAAATCACTGAAAAAGCAAAATATCCCAAAATAATTTTCTAGTATTCAATATTTCAAACTAGAAAGTAGATTCTGAAGCTTCTACACATGTAATAGAACTGCCATGTGTACATGAAAAAAAAAGTTGAAAGTCGTTTTTATAGTAATACAACATTTTAAAATTTGTCAATATGAAAAAAATTATTTCTTAAGATTCTTTTCACTGCTACTTCTAATAATCCTATGTTCATTTCCTATCTATTCTGTTATTCCTTGGAATCGTCATTAATTCAGTGAGAACAGAAAATAGCAATCAAAGATGGTCTTACCAACTAACATTGCTTGATTTTAGTAAAGCATTTAGTAGATTGATTATATTACTTCTCACTAGATGGGGAGATACTCACAAAATGGATAAGATGAAGGAAAAAAGTTTAACTATTTGAACAAAAATTCAAAAAGTTAGTAATTGGATTAGTGCTATTCTAAAAAAATGATTATAGTCAATTCCCTAGTCACACGAAGAGCTCTTAGGAAATACTGTTTTTGTTTACACAGTATGCCATTGCACATCAAATTTTAATGCCTTGTGCCCAACTGATACAAAGAATCCTTACTCTATTAATTTTATTTTTAATTTATACATAATGTAATATTCATGTGTTATTTTATTGTGTTGTTTTGATACCTAAATACATTGTATCATTATGCTACATAATATATACAGTACATTTGTTCACTCGTTTGTAGTGAACAAATCAGGATAATTAGCATACTCTAATTTTTGAGTGGTGCAAACACTCAAAATTTTCTTTTCTAGCTACTTTGAATATACAATATCTTATTGTTTACTATAGTCATTGTACTGTTCAATAGGACGCCAAATTTACTCTTTCTTTTTAATTGTAACTTTCTTTGTACCCATCAATCAACCTTTCCTATCTCCTCTCCTCTACTGCCTGGTTTATTTTACTTAAGGGATGAATGAAAAAAAAAATATGTGCTATATATAAACAATGAAATACTCTTCAGCCATAAAAAAAGAATGAGGTCCTGTTATTTGTAGTGACATACATGAACCTGAAAGACATTATTATAAATTCAATATGCCTGGCACAGAAAGACAAATACTACATGTTTTCACTCATATACAGAATTTTAAAACACTCACCCCACTTTCTTTATTGATACTAAGTAAGTGTTTTCACGAAGCCTGTCTCTATTGACATGTATCTACTGTAATGTTTACATGTCTATATTTCTATCCTGTTCCTGAGACTTTGAAAAGCAAGCTCAAGTTTCATTTACAACTGAATATGGGTACATGACTAATGTCGGACAATTAATATGGGTTGAAGAAGTAAAAGAGGAGCATGGGGGATGTTAGACTTCTGTGGTCATAAAATGATGAATGACGTTAATTAGGAAGAGTTTCCTCAGAAAATCTAAATAAAAACCTGGCTCAAAAACATTTTAAGAAAAGTTGCTGAAGCTTCTTTATCTAGACTTCTAAAAGGAAAATCTATGAAGAGATATTTTTACTAAGTATACAATTTCTATCAGTTTAATTTCTCTTTTGGAAATTGTTTCTATATTTTGATACTAGTATTTATTAGGTTATGGTAATTACCCAACACATCCTTTTTCTTTTTTTTTTTTTTCATTTAATATCAGGTAATGGAATTTTACTTTTATTATCTGATAAGACACTCAGAAAGGACTTCTAGAGCATATTTAAGTCAAAATCAATAATTGGGTTTTAAATTGTTAAGAGTCAGACTGCCTGAATTCACCTTCCTGCTCTACCATATATGACCTGCTCTACCATATACATTGTATGATCTCACACATTCTTTTTCAAAATTTCACACACAACATTTGAGCAGAACAAAATTTTGAAAGGGGAATTGCTATATTTTTTCAAAGAAAAAATGAAATATATAATCATTTCAATTAAGTCAAATTTCTTCAATTTATAATATAAATATGAATCATATATAATCAATGATTATCATTGTTACATAGCTATTTCTTATTTTTCTACTTTTCTCCAGATTTTTATGTAATTGTGAACCTGGGTACCATGGACCATTCTGTGAACTTGATGTAAATGAATGTAAAACATCACCTTGTCTAGATGGAGAAAACTGTGTCTACAGAACTGATGGATACAACTGCCTCTGTGCCCCTGGTTATACAGGTAAACCCATATCTGCCACATGTGCAGCAATATATTGCTGTCTGTAAGCAAATGGCAACCTCATATTTATACTCCAACCTGAAATAACTTGCCAGATGCAAACAGGTAAAAAAATGCCAAGAGATACTTTGTCTCTTGTAAAATAAATTAATAAGTAAAATTATGTATTTCATGTTCAATTTATTACATTCTGAGATTAGATTTTAAGTTATCTTACATTTTTATCTTTTTTGTAGCTTTAGTATGTTTGCATGGCTATATTATAGGTAAAAGTATTTCTGTATGGATAACCTAATAGAAATAACATTATTATAGGTTATACACTGTCACGTCTGAAATACGTTTAGCATTTAAAACATTTACATAAAAAGGAGAGCCCTTGTGAATTTAAAATGTAAGCAAAGAAAGATTGGCATTAGCTGTCAATATCAATTATTTAACAATATAAATTTTAATTCAACATAAAGGCAAAAGTCATCTAGGAACTTAAAGAAGGTAGAAGCATTAGGCTTCTAAATTTCTGGTGAGAAATTGCATTTACAAAATACCAAAAGCTACATTGTTTTAGTTTTGGCATATTAGTATTAATATGGGTCTAACAGTAATATAGTTTCTGTGTTATTTTGTTTCATATTTTTTCACACAATTCCCACAGAGATTAAAATAATATATTTAAATCTCAAATCCAGTTTATTAACATCTGATTTGTGCAGCACTAAAATCATATGGATTTCTGTCTTGAGTGATAAGTAGTTAAATACATCTAATATTAGCTTCTCTGCCAGCAGGGGTTAAAAAAATACTAGACAAATGGTAATTATATTGGCAAGCAAAAATGGTAAAGAACTAGAAGTATTTCCAGAGAATAAGTAATCAAAATCTAGGAGAAAATTATGTGACCTTAAAAAGAAATATGCAGGTGTCTTTCCTGAGAAACCTTGATGGCTTCAGAGGTTATCTTGATAACAAATCTTATATACACAAAAACTATCAGATTAAGTTGATAGTTCCTAAAAAATTTTCATTATCTACAAAGTCTATTACAAATAATACAAAAGAAACATTAAATTTCTGCTATAAAACGGTATACTTTCTAAGTTTCACATTGCCTATTATCTTCAAAATTATGGAGATATTAATGTAGAACCATATCCACTTAGCAATACTATTCACCTTCTTGTTACTGCCACTGATAGTGTTAAAATAAGAAACAACACACTGAGCCTAACATGACTGAGAAACACTTTTTGTCAAGTTGTTATAACACCTTGCTCTGATATTTTAAACGTATCTTAACATTTGAAAGATTAACATGTTCTCTATTTTTCTTTTGGTAATTTCTCTAATTTCATTTCAAAATATGGTACTTTGCATTGTTTTAAGATGATGTTATCTAGGATATTACCTGTGGCACATGATTGAAGATGTTTTAATATATGTTTGCATATTAGTACAGCTATAAGTAAAAAAAAAAAAAAAAAAAAAAAAAAAAAAACTCAGTTAATTATTGGCCTTAATAACGAGGGTTCATTTTTTCTTACATAATAGAAATTCTGTAGGTAAACAGCTACCGGTATTGGTCCAGTGAGTTGACAGTACCAGACTGGGATTATGGTTTTCTTAGTCTTTAATTCATGATTATAGGCTCATGCATTCCTGCTACGATGACTTAAGTCATTGTTTCTACACTTGAGTCAAGGGAGAAGAGTGGTGCCAACTGTATTTGAGTCTTTCTATAAGGAGAACATTTTTAAAATAACAATCAAAACCTGCTAATATCTCCTTGAGCAAAACTGGCTCACATGTCCATGTTTAGGTTAAGTGGAAGGTAAGAAATTAAAAGCGTATCTTTCAGAATTTACATTTGAAGACAGGAAGGAAAAATATTATGAAATATGGGTTACAGTTTGGTTTCAAACCAAGGAAGATATATGATTTGACATTCAAAAAGAAGTTATGCCCCTCAAGAGGGTTACATGTTTTGGTTTTTCGGTACATGCTCTTTTTACATTCAAATTGACCTTCTCTTTCTTACATGAACATATAAAACTTTTTGTTATTCTTATACACTTAAAACATTTATTTTTCTTGCCTCCTCTGGAAACATTTTCAAGATTCCTAAAGTATACTATTTTGTGAGATGTTTAAATCTGTTCATATTTATGTTATTCCATTTCAAGAAAGTAATGGCACTGCAAGGTTTCACTTAGAGAACCTTGAACTTTAAAACACAAGGACATTATACCTTTGTATGTTTTTCAAGATCATACATCTGGTAGTGACAGAGCCAGAACCAAAATACACATTCCTTTCTATCCCAGTTTTATTTCTACTCTAGTTTTGCTCCATCAAAGTAAAATTTGAATGAAATGGTGTTAGTGACATAGAAGAAAGAGAAAAGAACATTAAATACAATATTAAAAGTGTTAAAATCTGGTAACCAAATGTATTATTCAAAAAAATTTAGTTTTGCTTATACCTATGAATATACTTAACCAAGTTATTAAGGATATATATTTTTCAAGACTCTGACCAGGAAAGTTTATGATTCTTAATTCTCTAAATCAGAGCATTTTTTGAAGAACACATTAAACAATATGTACACAGGGTGTCATGGATTAACCCAATACTTCTGTATTCTGTGCTTTGTATTCTATTAGCTGTTGAGATTTTGTGATGATCAAGGCTGACATGATTCTTATTCTTATGTAGATTTGTGGTATCTAGAATTGGAAAAAGATAATAAACTAACATTTGTAAAGTTGATTATTTAAAGCCATTCTATAATTTATCTAGGGTAGTAGTAATTAAACACTATCACAGATAGAGTCCAAATTTACACATGTAGTGATTTGACTGAATTTAACATACAGGAAGTACACAAGTGATGGCGTATGATCAAAGGTTTACATTTTATCCTAGCAAAGAAAGAAATCGGTTGATCAGTATATTTGCAGTATCATGTCTTTCTTTCCTAAAGAATATTTGCTTATGAACTTGAGTTTTAATTTAATTATTAGTGATTTAAATTTAGGAAAGATACAAATAGTAAATTTATATGTTTTCTAAAATAGTCACTCATTTAGCAAGAAGTCTCTTCTTAACTAGACACAATTAATCTATAGATAAAAGTTTATGAATTTATGCTTAAGGATTTTAAATATGAATACATGTAATGTCTACATTTATATTTATATATATTTTAATATTTATATATCTACTAGAAAGTATAAATATTTTTTTAAATGCCGAAGTCTTGGAAATAGTAACTTTGATAACAGTGCCATCTAGAAAGAATATACAATTAAATAGTTCAGAGTAATAAAATATAATTATGTTTGCTTCAAAGCAATGCAAATTTTTTTCTTGGATATGTTTCATATACATAACAAACATATGACTATAATCAGTTATATTATTGTCTACTTGAGATAATGAAGCTGTCTTCTGAATTTTTTTTAGCCAAATGCCCAAACTACATAAGAGGTAAAACAATCTGTTTTGAGTACATGTACATGTTTAAAACAGCATCGTTTTGTAAAACATGGGCAATTGGTCCACTGTACATTTTGGGTTATTGTGAAGATATTATTATCATACTGTTTCTGCTGCCTAAAATATGCCTTCTCTCCTATTGCTAGTACTGATACTCATACCATAACTCAGATGCAACTTTCTCTAGGAATCTTTTCTTAGATTCTTGGCTTCTGTTATTTTCTTCTATAGCACCCATTTTATCCACCGAACTTATTATAGTTTTTGAGAAACTCTGATTTAATTATCAGTTCATCTGAGAAAACTCCCCAACTCTACTTACTATTTTATCTCTTCTCTCCATCAAAGTTTAGTGTACTCTGCTACAATTTGTCAGCTAAGTTCTAGTTTAATAAGGTGTATTAAAATAGAATATAAGGATGATTAAATGAGAAAAGATATGAGGCTAGATAATTTCAAATTTCTCATTGCATATTATACATCTGCAATAATTTAAATACAAAGGGTTTAGTGTTTATTTTTGTTTGATAACTATAAGTCTATAGTCATAAAAAACACTTAAGCAAATATTTGGTATTTGATTATATTTAGTTTTAGATAAATAGTAATCACTTCTCTTTGTCAAGGACAGCAACATTATTAACATAACATTTACCATTTCCATTTTCTGTTAATGTAGGCAGGAGCTACATTAAACAGGCAACTGAATTGTGCTCAACCACATTTCTCTTATGTGACAAGATTTAACATTCACTTTCACAACTCAGATGTGCAAAAATGTATGTTATTTCTGTCATAATGAATTCCATATAATGTATGGGTCTGATTTCATCTAACAGAAGAAAATGTCAATGTGCCAAGTCAATGTGTAAGTTTTTCAAGACTTATACCAGTTTTGCAGTTGAGTATCTTTTTTATTCAGAGATCTGTCACTCTTTTGCACTGTTTAATATGAATGCAGAAAGACATTATCCCTGGTATTTGGGTACCGTGTACCGGCACAGACTTTGGATGTCCATGGTCTCTTCCATGGTCTTTGCGCTCTATGTTCAGACTGTCTCCTCTTTATCTCAAATCCAAAACTTCATTTTAAAATTGCCTTTATCATTTATACTTAAAAATCCATTTCCCTTTTATCAAAAGCAGGATCTTGCATATTGAAATTGCACTTTGAAAATTGATGTGCATATCATTAAATCACAAATATTAATACTACTTTTAAATAACTTATAGACTGTTCTTGGCTTTTCTTAAAACAATGTTTAAGTAAGCCTTTATATCAGCTTAAATGGCAAGAGGGATAATTGCAAAGAAGGAATAAAGCTTACAGAGTTTTCTATTGAAGATTTATATTATAGACTTACTCTCCAGATGCAGATTCTAATAGCCAGTGTCTTATTTTATTGAATTATAACCACTAATGGCCTCAGAATGCAATTGCATTTTCTATTTGCTAATTTCACAAATGTATATGTGCCTCTTATGCCCCAGGCCCTTTTGAAAAC